AGAAGGAAATTAACATGGATCCTCCTCCCGCGTGATCAATGCCTTTGAGAAAATCTTAGTCCAAAAATTGATATATATATATATATATATATATATAAGGGCTCACCATGAGCTTGATTTAAAAAGTTCACAAAAGTTTAAACAAGCTCACAATGATCATAACTCATTTTCCAAACACAAAAATGATAAATCAATCATACTAATTGTATAAGCTGATAATATTATTGTTATAAGATATCATTATTTGGAGACAAATATCTTTAAAACCTTGAGCATTTAAAATATTTTTCTGAAATAAAAATCTATAAGAACAAACCTAGCCTCACCACCTTTCAAAGAAAGTAAGTTTATAGAAAGTAAACCGATTAACACTAACTGATCCTAAAATAAATTTAAGTGATATTGATATCACTTATCTAGTTGATAAAGGAAGACATCAAAATTGGCGAGAAAGTCATATATTTGACTCATGTCTAACTAACATAATCTTTGATGCCATATTAAAAAGTTAATTCATGCATGCCACTTACAAAAAAAAACCATGAATGTTGTTACTAAGATTCTCAAACACCTAAAAAGAAGCCTAAAGGGGTATTGCTATAAGAGAAGAGACTTTTAAAGGTCAAAATTTATATTGATTGGATTGGGTCAATAGCAGACAAAAAATCTAATTCAAGGTATTGCACCCATGTGTGTGGTAATCTAGTGACCAGGAGAAGTAAAAACAAAAGTATTTTGGCAAATAGTAGTGGTAAAGCAGAACTCAAATAATTGGTTAGTGGGATTGGTGAATTAATCTGACTTAAGCTACTTCAAGAAAAATTTTAGAGAACTCTTAGAACTAACAGAATAGTATATTATAACAATAAGGTTGTTATTAGCATAGCACACAATCTTATCTATCATGATTAGACCAAATATAAGGAGAAAATAGACACTTCATTACAAAAATGTTAAGTCACCATTTATGTATTCATGTATTACCACTAATCTGTCAGGCGAAAACCTGACAGAAAATTGGCAAGTTCAATATTTAAAACTTGATTGACAAGCGACATCTTGGGTGCTTACAAACCAATATAACAGGAGTAATGAATGTTCCAATCACCCAAGCCTTCCCTCTTTCCATATTATAACATGACAGCTCATGCATGCCCCTTTAAAATCAGGGAACTATGGCTGCAAAAGGCCTCATTCCTGGCAATTTTCCAAGAAGGAATGGGAACCCATAAATTACTGAAGGAGAATGCATTCCTTGCTTCATGGAAAGGCAGTAATCCATGATTTTTTTAGGTGGGTATTACTATATTCATTATAAGTTCTACATTTAAAAAAGCTTCTAATATATGCTTTTCTTCCCTATTAAAAAATGTTTACTTCTTCCCAATTTTTCCTCATTGCAAACCTCTATATTAGGGGCTGGATTTCAACCAACAAAGAACAAGAAGAATTTGAGTTTTCTTTCTCCCTTTTCACTTCTATATCATATTATAAATGATGTTAAATCTTCTACCTCTACACATCTCACATCAAAATAATCCAGCTCAATATATTACACCTACAATATGAAAAGTAATTCATAGTACTATAAATAAGGATAATAAAGGAAATTCAATTACTATTGCAAATTGTACTATGATTTTCGCAAAATCTATTTAAAATATCATCAAACTAGTCACTAAGTAGATGAATGTATCAATAGAAATCTAAGAAGTGAAGTGGAAGAAGAAGATGATGATGAAATTAGTGAGAGTGGGCGCATTCATGGATTTGATGAAGAAGTGTTTATGAGCATAATTCAATGAACTCTTTAAATGTTGAATACTACTATTGCCACACCTAAAATTGAATCTGATTCAAAAAGAATTATATTTCAAACTTATTTTAAGCATGATGATAAACTACATAAGCTTATTGTTCGAGTGGTTTGCGTAGTTGAGTTTTCGTCATCATTACTTCTTCTAAGAAATAGTTGCAAGTCACATAAGAATCCTCAAGACATATTAGTTTTTTAGCATACATTATCTAATAAAGAATTATATATTCTTTTTAGAGTTGGACTTGACATCACTTACCATCAAGTTTGTCATAAAATTCATTAGTTCAAAGATATAGAGGAAAGAGTCCATTTAAAATTGTTGTGATATTTCAACCTAGAAATCCCATGAATATCATTGGACTTCATATTGAGTATAGAGTATAGTCGTAGTAAATTGACACAATCTTATACACATCATGTGCACAACTTGCTGAAAAATATTCACCAAGGACAGGTTCCTAATTAAGCCTACTGAAGTATATTTAATTAAAATAAAAATATGTGAAATTCAAATCAGGTGATGAGGTAATAATTGATCTAAATAATGAAAAGATATCCTCAGGAACCCAAGAAAAAATTACCAGTTAAAAAATTTAGATTAGATAAAAACATAAAATATAATATGTTTAATGCTTTTAAGTTAAAAGTTCCAAAAAAAAATGCTGGCATCATATGAGTTGACATGTATTTATATGGGCTTTACATCATGGGTTTACATTGAACTCACTTTTTCTATCTCCTTCAAGCTTCAAATCCAACACCCCTCCAGTCCACCATAGACACACACACACACACATATATATATATATATACAGAGAGAGAGAGAGAGAGAGAGAGAGAGAGAGAGTGTGTGTGTGTGTGTGTCAAATACTATACTAAACGATAAGATTATGCATATCAACTGATGCACATCAAAGGTACCTTGTCCAATGACATGAAAGACAATGCATATAATGGTTCATGGATTACTCTATAGAAAGCACGACAATCATACCTTCATCTGATTGAAGATTATCAAATGAAGAATTTATCAAAATCTAGTTTTTCGAAGTCACACAGAATTGATGCAAATTTCAATATGTACGATAAATGAAACATGACTGAGTTAAAATGAACAAATTTGAATGCTAGATTTTCACATTAGATCCTGGAAGCTTCTTGCCTGAGTTATTGACTTGAAATTAGAAGAACCGACTAGAAGAGTGGAATTATTGCTTCGTAGCTTGTTGATTAGGATGTACATCCTTTCCTTGAGGGTTGTTGTTGCTTATGATTGAGTTTTTGGATTTTTTTTTTCTCGGAATTAAATTTAGATCCTTTTGCAATTAAATGGTTTAAGGAGGTGCATGCAACCTTTTGCAAATTCTCAGAAACCTAATCCTTCCAACTATAATGGTAGCTTAAAATCAACGCTACTTATAACTAAGCTATCAGGACTTCGAGATTATAAGGCCATTAACCATTCTTCTAAGAATATGTTTCAATAGAAACAGGAGGGATTTTATGATTATAACAACCAAAATTGAGACGTGTAATTTAAAATAAATTCAAAATTAAACGTTCAATTCTATGCCACTGTTTCAACAAGAGACTGAAAATTTCCGACAGGGATAATCTCCTTGTCCAAATTGGAGGCTAAAGTTGGTTACTGATTCACGCGGGAGCTATCGAGACCTCCTCCCCCTTACAACAACTATGCTACGGTACCCAGACAACAGTTCACGCGAGCGGAACAACGTTGAACCGAGCGGCCCGTTTTTGACTCCTTTCAAATTTTTAGCGAGTTTCCTTTTTTTTTTTTTTCTTTCATTCATTTCTAGCCATTCCTTAGATATGTGTTGAATTAGGGGTTAGAAGGGATTTTTTTTTTTTTTAGGACAACAGTCAACATCCACTCTTCTCCCTTCTAGGGCTATATCCAACATATTGAATGGTGATCCGGCTCTATTCCTCTTCTGAGATGGTGATTATCATCCTCTATCCCCTTCCATCTCCCACGTCGCTCCCAGACACTTTATCCCTGCTACAACTGCCCGGACAGTTTCCTGTATTTGTCTTCCCTAGAGTTCTACTCTTCACCTTACTGTCACCGTCTCCTACTTTCACTGTCGCAGCTTGCAAACTCTTCCACTTGCTGCCCACTGTCGGAATCCACACCCATACCCAGCCACCCTTGTTGTCGTCATCCCTGACAGATGTCATATCGATATTGGTTGCGTACTTGATATCTAAAACGCGTGAAACGGTCATTTTTGTTGTTTTCTGTTTGTCGACCACCTCGCCTGCAGCCCACGACCTTCCAACCATCACCGCTCTACCACCCTTGATCCAACCCTAACCACATGTCGTGTGTCGAGTGTGTTGTTTTTTTTCCTATTTTCATCTACTTTGTTGTACTTTTCCTTTCAATGTGTGAGTTGTAACGGCCTGATTGTTTTTCCAGTAATAATAATTAATTTTTCTATTTTAGTTTGGGTTAACTACGGTATTCACGACATGTTTTTGTCGACAACCTCGTCCATCAGCCCACGACCTTCCAACCATCACCGCTCTACCACCCTTGATCCAACCCTAACCACATGTCGTGTGTCGGGTGTGTTGTTTTTTCGTATTTCCATCGACTTTGTTGTACTTTTCCTTTCAGTATTTGAGATGTAACAGCCTGATTGGCTTTCAAGTAATAATAACTATTTTTTCTATTTTAGTTTGGGTTAACTACGGTACCACTCATGTTCATTTTACTTTAGCCATGCTCTCTATATATTCTAATAATTGGCTTTGCGTGCATAATTGTTATTTCATCAACTTGATGTTATATAAATTTGTAAGATAGCTGATTTATTCAACTGACTTGTGATAACAAATTCTAAAAATTATTTTTTGTGTATGGTTATTAAATAATTATTTGTATAATTTTATTCATGTATACATTTTTTGCATCGGTAGAGAGATATCTGAATCAAGAGTTGGTGATTTGCAAATATGTGTGTTTGCATAATTATGTGCACGTTATAATAGATCTACATTAGCAAAACGTAGACCCTAAAATGTCCAACAACAATAACCAAAAGGAATAATGCTCTCAGGAGCCAAATCAACATGCATAGATTGCCCTTTAACAGCGTAACAAAGCAGTCAAATAGAAAAATAATAATAATAATAATAATAATATTGGATTTACCTCCCAGGAAGAAGCTGTGAAGTGTTAGCAGGAACCTTAGAACTACCAAGACGCTTTGCCCTATTTTCTTGCTCCTTATCTACTCGCATGGAAGCAACCTCCTTCTCCATGGCAGCAACTTCTCTTCTCATTTTCTTGGCCTCCACTTCCATTGCCTTTGTTAATGTATCTACTTTCTTTGCTAGCATCTGCAAGTAGAACCCGAAATTCAAACTACCGTGGAATATAAAAATTGATAGTAATCACTCCCGTCGAGATGTATTTACCTCAATGGCATCATCTTTGTCCTTCAGGCTTTGATCTTTCTCATAGCATGCTTTTCTGAGAGTAATCACCTCCTTCTGTAGCATATCATATAACAATCCAGACACAGAGTCATCTGCATCTTCAGTGCGAAGCTCATCTGGCTTCTCCTCTAAACTATCCTTCCAATTGGTATGTGCATCCCCATCCCTCGTCTCATCAGTAGATTTGTTGAGTGAAAAAGTACCCCCATTTGCAAGGACTTTGTTGCGATCATATGATCTGCTTCCACCATCAAAGGACTTCGAAGTCCCTTTTGCATGCTTCAAAACCATGCTAGAGCCACTTGAGAGGGAAGATCTAAACTGGAAGGATGATGTCCTCCTAGTTAGAAGACCATTAGGGGAAGCTTTTGACATATTATCAGCACCTCCCAATGATTGTCTACGTGAAGGGCCATTGCTTACACTCCTACCCTCTGCACTCGTACGATGAACGCCACCAGAAGACATTTTCAGACCCTCTTCAACTACTTTCAACCGCAACTGATATTTTTCCTGGGAAATCAAAACCCATTTTTTTAATTACTTCTTTATTGATATAATGTTTTTGAGAAACTACAATCAAAAGTTGAAAGTTTAAGAATGCATATGAAGAGTGAAGGAGAAAACACGACCTTCAGCTGAGCTTCATATTTAGCGGTGCGTTCTGCAATAGAAAGCTTATCACGTAACTGTTGCATTTCCCCCTGTAAGAAAATTAACAGGTGATTATATTTATCACCAAAGAGCATACATAAACAACTTTTAAACAAGAAAAAGAGAAAACACGAATCAAGAAAAACTGACTTTCATCGGATGATTGGAAGAAGTAATCAAGAAAGCAAAGAGCTATTAAAAAATACTTACTTGCATAAATCTCCGATCTTCAAGCCACTGCTTAACAGGCATTACTTTGTCATTTCCATCTTTCCATTCATTTGCAACAACGACTGCAACCCTGTTAGCAGAAACTTTTGCACGAGCCAGCTCTCTATCAAGGGTCTTCATCTCATCCTAGTAAGAAACAATTCATTTTTATTATTATAAAACATACAATGTACAGAAAAAGAACTTAACTAAGTTATCTAAGATAATATAAAATAAATATGGAACCAGTACAACCCAGAACTTTAGAAATTAGTAAACAGAAAACAGAAGTACATTCATCTCTTGAACTTTTCGCTGGTAATCTCTCACTGCATTTGCTGCAGCACCACCTGCTAGAACAGCTTCTTCTAGCTCTCTTACTGTCTGGCTAAGCTTTTCAACCTCTGCAACCTTTTGTCTATGCATTTTATCCAAGATCTTATTTTCTTCCTAAAAAGGTATGACATAGACATGCAAAACAATAATTCAAAAACATAAACTTTGATTCAGAAGTTAAGAAGCAATAAAATAGTTGTTTGTTTTTGTACCTGGCAAATCTCAATCTGTTTAATTAATTCTTGATTTTTGTTTTGTAAATCATCAACCATAGAAGCCTTTGCCAAAGCAAATTGAACAGTTCTTTCTGCTTCAAGCAGTGCAGCTTCCTTTGATTTGGTTAGGCGATCTAACGCCCTGTTGTCATCTTGCAGCTTAGCAATCTACAGAAGGAAAGTAAAATCCAAAGCTATCATGCCAGCTGATTATTACCAACAGAATTAAACAAGATCCTGGCTTCTAATCAACCAATTAGCAGCAATCCTTAAACGAGAAGTAATCAGAAGGAGAACAGCTCCAGAAGCAGCAACAAGAATACATGCACTCAACAGTAAGAAAATAAATAACCAGGGCAGCATCCTCTTAAATTAATTGAATGGATAATAAACCACAAATACAGGAATGAAACTAGCAAAGGTGCATTGGTGAGAAAAGAAAATAAATTTTTATAAATATATATGCCACTGCTCACAAAATCATCCTAATCAAGCACAAATTTTTGCGCACTTTTAAAGATCCAAAAATAAATCAAAATTAAATTGGTAAAACCACGAGAATTATTTCATAAGCCAATCTAGACTCTAGTTCCAATAGGCTTATGGTCGAGACAATTTATTATGGCAAAAAGCATCAAATAACATCAAAATCATCCAGATCCAAGTTCAACTAACCACGAAAAGCTAAAAATCATAATTAAAAAAATCCTAAAAACCATTCAAATGGTCAAACAAACTACAGCATACTTCAGCATAGTAAAAATGGGTAAATATTCTAGAGTAACCCTTGAAGAGACAGAACCATCCCCTTCAAGATCCCTACATACAACTCAGTTATCTTTATTTTTCCACATTTAAAATTGAGGATTCTACAGCATAGTAAAATGTTTTCATGCATATAGCTTCTAAACCCACCAGAGTACCACCTAGGACAAATGTTAACCATTTGCACCCAACTAACTCATTGACAAACGTTCACCAATGTCCAACTCCATTCAACTAAGTCTAACTCCAGACACCCATCAACATCAACCCCCAACAATACATCCTCGTATGTCTCCCAACATCCGTGTCCATCAACATTCGCTAACTCCCAGCATTCAACATCCAACATGCCGCCATTTCCTGAATTCTCTAAAAAAAACATCCACTAATCACTGACACTTAATGCATACATACAAGGCCAAATGACCCAACTTTTGTAAGAAGAAAGACTAAGTTGAACACAGCCTACCGTCCAATGCGTGCAAATTGCGCATCCACTAAAAACAAATGTCCAAAACATCCACTAAACATGTCATTCGACCATACACCAGTTAAGCCATTGGGTCCATCTTCCCGTAAGAAAAATGACCAAACAAACCATCTTTGGATGTTAGCTGTCACCCTTTGATAACATCGAGCATTCACAGATCAATGCAAACTAGCTTTCACAATCAACCAACATCCATAAACATCCAATTCTTAATGCCAACAGAGATCATACTCCAATCGTCAGACATTAGTTATTATTCATTGACCAATGTCCAAAACATCCACCAATTAAGTCATTGGGTCCATCTTCCCATAAGAAAAATAACCAAACAACCCATCCTTGGATGTTAGCTGTCACCTTTACTAATATTGGGCGTTCACAGATCAATGCAAAATAGCTTTCACAATCAACCAACATCCATAAACATCCAATTCTTAATGCCAACCGAGATCATACTCCAATCGTCAGACATTCATTATTATTCATTGACCAATGTCATCCAACTCCCAAAGCAAATTCTCGCTTTGTCAAACTTACACTTCATCGAGACTCGTCAGCTCACAATCCTAAATATTTTCCAACTATGTCGCCCAAAGTAAAAATGTTAATATAATCACCCCATCACCGACATAAAATATCCACTGACTAATATTGCCCCGACTTTCTAGTCAACCAATGTTGTTAAAGTCCCCCGTAAAACATCAATCATCACTCATTCAACAGCATCACTAACAAACACTAGTCATCCATTATAAATGTTGTCACCTCCTACAACAAACTAAGTAGAAAATCTATATTTATGGTTTCAAGTTGTTTTCTCAACTTCCATAATTATGAGAAAAGGCAAACATCTCCAAGTTGGAAGCAAGGATATGGAACTATTCTAATTGGGAAAGGTCTTGTGGGTTTTCCTTCTCCTAATTTTCAGCATTAAAATTGTTTACCTAATGTATCTATGCAATTTATGCCTCCTTATCATTGTTTGTATGATTTCTGTGCAAGCAAAGTCTTCACCATAAAACCCTATCACTGTGAATTTTTTTAGCATGTGGTACTTTAAAATATGTGTTCTTCAATAAACCATTAGTCATAACTTCCAAATACATCACACTCAAATACAGAATCACTAAGAAAATTATGGCATTAAGAAGTTGGTTATAAGTAGCATTAAATCCCTCAAAAAACTAAGAGATATGCCATGATAGTTGCATTAAATATCCATTAACCAATGTCATCCAACATTCACTAGCGTCCAAGTCATGACATCGACAAATATCCAACTCCCAAAGCAGATTCTCGCTTTGTCAAAGCTTGTTCTTACAGTTCATCGAGACTCGACAGCTCACAATCCCAAATATTTTCCAACTATGTCACACAAAGTCCAATTGTCTATGTAATAACGCCGTCGCCAACATAAAATATCCACTGACTAATATTGCCCAACTTTCTAGTCAACCAATGTTAGTTAATACCCCCCATAAACATCAATCATCACTCATTCAGCGGCATCACTGATTAATGCTAGTCATCCATTGGCAATGTTGTCACAACCTACAACAACCTAGGTAGAATATTTATTTTTGAGTTTTTTAAGTTGTGTTCTCAACTTCCACAATTATGAGCAAGGGCAAACATGTCTAAGTTTGAAGCAAGGATATGGAACTATTCTAATTGGGAAACGCCTTGTGGGTTTTTCTTCTCCTAATTTTCAGCATTAAAATTGTCTGGCTAATGGATCTGTGAAATTTTATACCTCCTTATCTTTGTGTCTATTAGAACTTTGTGCAAGTAAAGTCTTCACCTTAAAACACTCTCACTGTGAACTTTATAGCATTTGGTAATTTAAAAAATGTGTTCTTCAATAAACTATTCCTCATAACTTCTGGATACATCACATCACACTCAAATACAGAACCAGTAAGGAAATTATGGCATAAAAAGTTGAGTGATAAGTTGCATTACATCCCTTAAAAAACTAAGAGAACCATATGCCTTGATAGTTGCACTAAATATGTAAACCATACCTCTTGGCGAGCCAGCTTAAGTTCTGCCTCAAGTGGAGCAAGGATAGCTTCAATGGGAGGCATATCATCATCTTTCTGAGCTGCATGAACGCGTCTAAGTGTAGCCTCTGCAGCAAATTGAGCAGCCATGGATGCTTTCTTCTCATCATTTATTCTCTTGATTTCAAGGTTCTGTGAAAATAGCTAGCATCAAGCACCACTATAAACTACAAAGAGAAAAAATTAAAGAGAAATAATATGGAATATTGATAGAGGTTTCAACTAAAAACCTTAGACTCCAATAAAGATTCAGTTAACTTAAGCTTCTCGTCCACCTTGGTCAATTCTTCTGTAAGCTGAATAAAGTAGATAAGGATTAGCTCACATACCAAACTATCTAGCAGTACTAAGAAAATACATGAAAGTAGTGTTGAAAACTATGTCCGGGTCTAAGAAAACATGTGCCAAACAGAAACATTTCATGCAGAAACATAATGCACACGTGCAGACTATGTTCAGGGAAGGAAAAAAGAAATCAGCAGATCAGAGTTTCCAGCAGATAAAATGTGTATTGATATTCATCCTGGAAGTAGGAATAATGCCTACAAATAACATTACACAGAACAAAAATTTTAAAACTTCTTAAAAAGAAACAATGAAGCTGTTGAGATTTATGAACCATCATCATCTTAATAATCTCATCCCAACTATTTATAGTTATCTAGATGGAACATCAGTAACAATTAATTCTTATTGAGTGCTCTTTGAGGTGTTATACTTAAGCTATACTAATATTTTTTTGGGTATCCACAATAATTTTAAGTTTGCCCCTTTTCCTTTCTATATGTTTGCAAAAACCTTATCTACCAATGTTTTTGAACCATTTTCTTCCCTTCTTTTAACATTCTCAAACTATTTGTCTATTTCTATTAATTTATATTCAATGGACTCTACCGCCACCATTCATGTAGTATGGGGTGTGTTGGGGAAGCTGAGGTGAAAAAGTTGTATTTTACAACATAACTTGGCTAAAGTGTAGTGGCTGTCAGAATGCTACTGTCAGACTTTTTTAAGATTAAAAAAAATTGTAATAGCCAACACAACTCCTTGAACAACAGCTTATTCTGTAGCAACTTCACAACTACTTCTTTGAAACAGCCACACCAAATATACCTATAATCATTTGCTCAATTTATCCATCCTCACTTTTGCACCATATACATCTTAGCATTTGTATTTCTATCACACTCAACTTGATTATAAATGATTTTTTTCTAGTGCAATATTTCGATTTTTATATCATATCTAAGTTGATTGCAATTTTTAAAAAAATCAACTTGAAGTCTACATGATATTCTCTTATCATATAATACTCTTGAAAACTCAAATCTACGGGATATCACTTGGTAATCCAACTATATTGATTAATACATTGGTAATTTCATATCTACTACAATCATACATCATGTACTAAAATATGTTTCACTAACACAGTCTTTTAGCTTCAAAACATTTTCTCCATTTCTTTAAGGGCCATTTGGAATCACTTCTAATTTCGTCCTTTGTTTTTGTGTTTTCATTTTGTATTACTTATGCTCTAATTTAAAACAAAACATGTTCGGTATGTTATAACATGTTTAATTTAAAAAAAAATCAAATAATTGGAGTATTTTAAAAAAAAGGAAGCTAATTTGATTTCAAAATAAAAAAAAACAAGTAAAAAACGCATTAAACAATACATTTTAAAAAGAAAAGCTAAAAAAACACAAAGAACAAAAGTACCAAACAAGTCCTTGATAATTCACCCAATATTGCCAATTGAAACTACGTCATTTGCAAGAAAACTAAAATCAAAGCACCTGATTTTGAATATCCTTTTGTAAACACCTTTCCAACCAATATAACAAGATATGTACATAGTGCTAATCCTTAATATATCCCCATTGTGATTGAAAACACTCGAGCCGCTCCACAATCAATTACAATATTAATCAACGGTCCATCATGCATCTCTTTAAAAAACTTCCCATGCCTTTAGCATACAATTTTTCCCTTAATATACACCAAATAAGTTCTCATAAAACCCAATCATACACCTCAAAATTAATAAAAGAAATATTTCAATCAAATATCTACTCTCTAAACTTGTCCTCTATCTAAACACAAGGAATGCTTCCACAGTAATTCTTTCGAACATAAAAACAAATTGATTCTTTTATATCAACATAATTTTTTTCAAAGTTCACGTTCCATCATACTCTCCTATAATCGTGTTGTATGTCTCATAAGTGTTGTTCTTCTATAATTACCACAATCTTGAACACCTCATCTGGGATGTAACCTAAAAAGAATGACAGAGATATTTGACATTTACTAATTGATAGAATAGAACTTCTATAACTATAAATATTAATTTATTTAACTCTAAATAGGTGATCATTTAAAGTTAATAATACAAATAATAATAAAAACTTGAAGACCCTCAGAAAAAAATGCTGATATCTCTCTAATGCGATGAGATTAAAAAAAAGGAAACCAGGGCAGTTTATTAGTAAAATCAACAAAGTAAAACCCAGAAAGTATGATGGTCTTAAAAGAAGTACTACAACTGATGGCTACGACAAAGAAACTTCAACAGCATAATTCAAGAAAAAAATCACAAAAAAAAAAAAAAAACATTAGATTGAAAGTGCAAAACAGAGTAAAGGAGAAAGTGTAAAAGTTTCAAGGTGATTCATATTTCGAATCTAGAATGTGAGAGCACATTTTGCTAAAGTAAGCAACAATCACGTTGCATTACTTTCTCGCATATGAATGCATCACACCATTTTCGGAATAATGTTCATCAAGAGATCCAACGGAACTAGATTCCCAAGGCAGTCTCACATTCTAGATTAATAAATCAGGCAGGTATGCTTTCAATCAATAAAAGGAAGTCAACCGATCTACAGGTAGAATTACATCAATCTAGCCTCTTTTTACAAAATCTTGGCCCATAGAAGTGAAGAATAAAATAAAAAATTAAGATCTCTGCTAACCTCTTCAACTGCTTTCTCTCTCGCACGCTCTGACAGCTTCAGCGCTTTTATCTCAGCGTGGGCCTCGCCTAATTCCCTGTCTTTGTCTGCATACCCAAAGACATGAAAAACAAATTAAACGGTGACATTGCCACAACAAATTTCACCGGACTAAAAAAAAACAAAATATCAGTAGAAACCAGTGGATCGAACCACATTCCCACCTCTAACTTCATTCTCCAGACGATTGAGCTCTACTTTGATCGGATCAGATCCGTGCAACAGATTTATGAACTCCTCCGCATCCAGGCTCGGCCTTATCGCCGGCCTCCGTCTCTCTTTCCCCGAAGACTTCCCATCCCACTTATACGACGCCGATGCAGTCAACACAGCAGGGAATACTAACGGAGGCCCCTGAGTTAACGCCGGCGAACCTGCATTGCCTCCGATGCTGGACTCAGGTCTGAATCCCTCACCCCCGTCACCACCACACAGATCCGCCATCCCAGATCCGATTATCTTACATCCAAGTGAGCAAAAATAGCAAAAACAGAGAGAACGGCAGCACGCAAAATGCCCAGCACCCGTAAGACGCAAGACCTAGGTTTTCCTCCCTTTGATCATTAATTTTCTTTCCTCAGAAGCTTTTGATTCGTAAACCAAGAAAGAAGCAACGTCTTGAACAAACCCTAGTTTTCTTCTGCCTCCACTCGATCTGGCTCCATCTATATTGTAATCCGCTGAATAACGGGTTTCAGCAGAAGAGAAAGGCCGTTTTAAGAAGAAAATAATTATAATTTCAAGAACTCGGAAATACAGAAGTGGAGTGCTGCATGGTAAAGCGGACTTTACCTTGAGCAGAAGCATGATTTTGCTGTCCCCACCAATTTCAGTAAGGTTACCTCCTATTTCTCCGCATCCGCAGGAGTCCGGGATGCTTCACCTAGATAGAGACCGTGCGGTCAGGTTACCGACGGCATGGGATTTGGGATTCGGATCGAATGAGCGAACCGGAACAGCACGCAGGTAGCCATGACCGATTTGAAAACGTGTCCGCCACGTGTCCGCCAAAGCGGTTCGGATCCTGTAATCTGAGTTCATTGACATGAGGTTTTCCGGATCTGCTTAAAAAACGACAGTTAAGAAAAAAAATATATAGATAACGCTGTGGATAATTTCATTCTGAAATAAGAAAAGGTTGGCCGTAAGTAGGGATCTCGGATGATAGGTGATGAAAGAGAGTTGGTGTGATCGGCGGTGATCAATAGTTATCAATATTAATATAGATTAAGGGTGTGTTTGAGTCAGTTTGTGAGTTTCTAGATAAGTAATTTATCCAGAAATGCGGACCGCGGGATTTGACCCTCGACCTGCGTTTAGTGTAAAAATCTAAGCACATTTTCGGATAAGCAGACAAAACATGTTATCCAAACGGTACCGCGGTATTTTCAAAAAAGCCCCCACACTTATAAGCTGCCCCAAACGGGCCCTAAAATTATTATCGAGTCTTTAGTTTGTAATAGGCTTTATATTTTTTCATTATTCTTCTCAATTCAAGTGAAGAGATAAGGTCTATTTATAGCCTCTAATAACATCGGATCTGCTTAAAAAACGACAGTTAAGAAAAAAAAAATATAGATAACGCTGTGGATAATTTCATTAAGAAATATGAAAAGGTTGGCCGTTTGTACGGATCTCCGGTGATAGGTGATGAAAGAGAGGCGGTGATGATCGATGGTGATCAACAGTGATCGGCATCAATATAGACTAAAATTATTATTGGGTCATTAGTTCGTAATAAGCTCTATAGTTTTTCATTATTCTCATCAGCTCAAGTGAATGATAAGGTCTATTTATAGCCTCTATGGAGAGATATTTTAGTCTTTTGATGAATAACTCTCTCAATCACTTGATCTAATGATCTATATTACTCACTTTTGATCATAACGATTTAACTATAGATATGTAAAATTTTGAGTTTATTTAATTATTTAATTAATGATCCAAAGTTTTCATTTTTTTAATGGTTTGATCTGGACCGGTATTGAACCAACTGTGGCACCATTGGGTTTGTCTTATCGAGACGGTCAGTTTGACTATAAAACTTAATAAGATCAGGGCTCACGATTCTTAAATTTGAATTTAAAACGTTTGTTATTTAAAAAATATATTGAGATTCATGATGAATGAAGAAAATTTCTTGACGACACATCAAACTTAAACATAATGATTTTCACAAACTCTAATTAGAAAAGGAATACACATTAATAAGTGATGATTTGCTTTAATAATTAGTGAAACCAACTTTCTCTTTTTTCTCCTAATCTTTCTTCTAGCTATGGTTTTTCTTTTAAATTAACTGTAAAACTGACATCAAATGGGAGAGAAAGAGCACCAATGCTTGCTAATTTATTATTTAATCAAATGGTTCATAAATGTTTGATAGAAGAATCTCTTCATCAATAAGATTTAAACAATTAATTACTAAATTTAAATAAATAATGTCAGCCACTACTTTATTTCTAATATTATCTCACTTAACAATATATAATATTATTCAATTAAGCATAACAATAATAAACATAATGTGTTGAATCTGAATATGTTCTGTGGATCACACCCAAGGTATAAAGCTTATGACGGATTGAGTGAAACAGAGAGAGGGAACAGAGAGAGGGGAAAGGGGAAGATTGAGAGAGATAAAATGCAAGGTAACACACTAGTTTTGCTAGAGTAAATTCAGTATTAATTTATTTGAGAAACGACCCCCTATTTATAAGTCTCAAGAGTATCTAGTGTAAAACTACATGTATATCCCTATTTAAAAGGGATGTTATAAGTTATTATGATACATTTTCACATTTATAACTAATTTTGACGCCCTTTCATATTCATAACTGACATTAACACAATTTTGTATTCATAAATGCTTGAAGAGGGGCATTTTTTGACCCATTAATCTTGTCATTCGGTTGACTGGAAGCCTTTCGTAAGTTGTTATACATTCGGTCTACTGAAAATGCCATCGGTCAACCCTCTCAATGGAATCCTAAGTAGAGGACCTCCTGTCATTTGGGTAAAGTTGAGTCGTTAGGCAGAGGGTGTATCGCGTAAGCTGAGAGGGAGCTCTCTTTGGACAAGGTGCTTTCTCAAAGAATCAAAAATGTGTTTTGTGGGGTCTCCTTTGGTCACTTTGTGAAGAATTTCAGAATCCGCTAAGGGAGCTAGTCATGAACAATTGTCCCACGAATTAAGTGTCTTCTATTCATTTGTTTGGTTGTGCTTCCATTTGATCGCCTTAGAATTTCAATCGAAGAAAATGGCGCTTGGTGTATCGACTTCTGACTATCCTATTACAATGTAATTCGGTGTTCATAAACAACACTCGTTGGATTTCCTCGAGATTTGTTATGTCATGTTTTTAATGTACAATGAGAAATATGCATCAAATATTTTTAAGTTAGCTTGCTCACCTGAATGCCCTCATCACACATACGGTGATAATTTAAATTCAATTTGGTTAATCCATCGACAAAATAAAGTTTAGACATTAAAATAAGTATATGCATATTGATATGACATAGCATTCTATGCCAAAACCAAACATTGTCATGGTTGTATTTAAAAAAAAAAGTAAATTTAAATTTGGTTGAACATTTTAAATTATTCAAATGTATAATTTTATCGCTAAAACCTCAAATGAAAAGGCACTGTTATTTCAAAAAAATATAAGAACCATAACATATTACATATTTGTCCAAAATTGACAAATTTTAAATTGTCTTTCAAGTACTACTAAACAAATTGTATCTAGGTAATTATGTTTAGCTTGATTAATGCAATGCCAATTATCTTTCCTTCTATTCCCCATTTATCATATTATAATACAATTTACTGCTACAAAATTTATTAAAACTATATTTATGAGATCAAATATAACATTAAGAATAATAGACTATCTTAAAATATAGAAAAACTATGATTTAATGAAAAACACTAAAAAAAGATTTCAAATTTGTGCCTACTTCAGACAATGATTTATTTCCTTAACTAATTTAAGGAATGCATAGTATATGTTAATCTATGATATATATTCTTTATAAAAGACAAGTCTCTGTAATTAATTACTTTATAAAAGAGATGGTCACCTAAGAACGTGCTAGATAAAAACCCGGGTTATCATTGATGTCGACTTTAAAACAAACAACGATAAGAAAATCAAATATTATTGTTGAATTCAAAATAGTGAAATACAATCACACAAATGGAAATTGGAATAACTATAGACATACACGAACACAACTAGGATTGTATCCCAAAGGGGTAAGGGCCCATTATGTAGGATGGAATGGCATTAGGCGACTACAGTTGATTGACGAGATGGTGGAAGTTGGCTGCAGCAGGAAGGTTGGTTGTAGAAAGAATGGATGGTTGGTGGAGAGGTTGTAGGGATGGGAGGTAGGCTAAAGGTGGTAGGGTGAACAGAAATAGGCGTGTGTAGTTCAAGTGATAGAGGTAGGTGGAAGGGGGCCTAGAAGGTGACAATAAGCCTAGAAGTGAGAGAAGGTGGTGACGGGTAGGCTAAAGAAGCCTGTAAGGAGCTAGAGCTATTTAGCAATTGCAACAAAGTAGGCTAAAGAAGCCTGTAAGGAGCTAGAGCTATTTGGCAATTGCAACAAAGGAGGAAATGGGGGCGGTGTCTGGGTGGCAGGAGACGGTAGGTGGCTGGACAATGGACGAGAGGTATTCTGGTTATAGAAGAAAGCAAAGGTGATGTTCTTGGGGTGGCAACAATAGTTGCAATGATGGTGATAGCTGAGAGGTAGTTGTGGCGGTAGGAAGTTGAGGATAATCATCACAAATGAACAAGATACAGTTGAAGCACTCCCCCTTGAATACAACCCTAAAAGGGAAGACTTGGAGACATTGATGGTTGCCCTAACATAAAACAAAGCACAAAAATAATATACTTATATACCTAATGTTAATATTAGTAAACCCCACTCCAAATAGAAAAGAAATCCCTGCATTGAAGGAACAATCAACTTTTTTACTTGGACTGAACTAGTCTGGGCAAAAGGAGCCACGAAATTATTGTGCATGGGTGTTCGAAGCTCACATAGTCTCCTAGGGTTGGGAGAACTTTGACCTTATTTGTGGAAGCTTCTATCTGCACATTGAAGGGACACAACTATTGCAACCCTCTAAGGCTGAAGAATCTTCAGTTTTGGCTCTATAAGCATATGTATCCCACTATCCATTGCATTATCTCCCAAAACATCTACTGATTTTTCTCCACTTTTTAGCAACCATCCATATCAGTCCAATCACAAGAGGGTAGACTACCAAACTGAATTGGGACATTTGTGCCAAGTATGCCATGATGAGACTTCGCAAGATAGTCTCAGGTTGGTTCATGCCTATATGATGTGAGAACTAACTGAACTACCTATAACATTTGTAGTCATGGTTGTAATGTATCAATCATGATGTCATGAAATGCTCACTGTAGTGATTGTCTCGTGTCTAGAATCGTAGCCTCTATCCCACTATCCTCTACCATCACTAAAATTGATTCCAATGGTAATATCACATGCAACCTAAAAATCTGCAGAAGGTAAGACAACGAGGCATCTTCCATCATTGGTGAATGAGCAGACGTTCATGTACATATCTTGTTGAGTTATGTAGCCAAACTATCTCACTCTCCCTAATAGGATGTTGTTGACATCCATGGGTATCACATCACACCACATCAGATCCTGCAACTAGATTCTAATCAAAAACTCTATGAGACACCTCCTGTCAATACTAACTTTGTTATTTTTC